GGCTCTGCTCAATTATACGACCTCCTGTTGGAACCGTCAAAGATTTCTCAATCAGTAGGCCCACAAAGTGATGTGTACGGGACTTTCGGGAGAAAGGCCTTGGATCCCCGCCTTCTTTTGAAGGATCAAGGCTTGAGGATTCATTACCGCAGGAGAGGTGGAGCTCCTGGCGACGGTCAGCCTGAGTGCTTCGCTTTTGTCGAAGGTCGTTGCGAGTGTGGGAGTAGAGGTCAATACTGGCATGAACAAAGGGGCAGTACCTGTACTGTCTGTGGTTCGGATGACCATCAATGGGAACAATGCGCTCGTTTTGGCGGCGGTCGTTATGACTCCACCAAAGACCCAAGAGTTCTAGCCGCTGCCCAAAAGCATGCAGCCAGGACTTGAAGGGTTAAAGAACCTTTTTTTTATAGATTACGGGGTCGCTCACATCAACACAGCACTACTAACGCTCATGTTGCAAGTCGCTGGCATGTACAGAATGTTAGCTCAAGTCGCAACTGCAGCAACAGCACTGACACACTTGCACGGACAGAAGCCTTCCTTTTAACGGACGCATCCGTGGCACGGGGATGTATCTCTCGAAGGCTTAGTTAAGCCCTAAATCAGGGTTTAACAAAACCTTAAACGAGGGTTTAAGTAAACCCTGAATTAGGGTCTAGCTAAACCCTAGCTAAACTCTAAATTAAGGTTTAAATTAGGGTTTAGTTAAACATTAAATTAGGGTTTAGTTAAACATTAAATTAGGGTTTGGTTAAACCCTAAACGGCCAGGGAAACGTTTCACGCATGTCCCAATGGACGAGTCCCGTAGGACCAATGGCTCCCGGCATAAAAGATACCTCACCCCAGAGCGGGCGGGTGGGCAAAAACACTACTAACCTGAAATCTTTGCTGCAAGCTAGACTTTCTAATGGGATCTTTTCCCTCCCACCCACCTCGAAATTGCATGTTACGGGGAAGAGGAACACAGATTCACCAAGGAGTTCACACAGGCGCACACACACTCTGGTTCTCGACAGGTCGCCTCTACTCCCTGCCCGAAATCCATAAAGAGCTACTGATTGCATCACGCGCAGACGTCTTCAAACGAAAGTAGGCAACCAGTTGAGCCTTCGCACTCCACCCCCTTGGATATGGGGAAAAAATCACAGGGTTCCGAGTGCTCCTTCAAGGATATCTTCTATTTGGTACTCGTCGGAAGCTAATGATCAGGAAGAGCCAATAGAAGAGGAACCAACTGAAGCAGTAGTGGCAACCAAGACACGACCTCCCAGCCCGCCTAATCCTCAGCGGAAAAGGACAACTTTTCGTCCCAAGGCAACTGCAAGTAGTAGGGAAAGCGCCAGTCAATCAGTCTGGAAAACTGTTTCCAAACGTACTCAACGCCCTCCTATTCCTCCACGAAGTAAGCGTGCGTTGAAGGGTCGCAGTAGTGGTGCTACGACCTCGGCTCCGATTGTCGTTCCTCCACGGGTCAAGGCAAAAGACAAAAGTAAGTCTAGCATGCCAAGGGATGAGGTTGCGCTGACCCCTCGTAGCTCAGTTAGGCGAGCTACAAAGCACGGTGTTAAGAAGAAAGTTCCAAAGGGCTCGGTTCAAGGCAACATCGACTCTAAAGACTCGGAAGGTGTCAAAAGGAAAATTCCTCCGCCGCCTGCACTTCCCAAACGAGCTCGAAGGTCGTTGGCAAGCAAGGCTGAAAAGCCAGTTGAATCGCCTCCTGACGGATCACGGGCTTATTTAAAGCCCACCCCTAAGGTGAAAGCCGCGGCGGCTAGTGAAGGAACATCCACTCTGTTGAAGAAGAAAAGGGGAAGTACCAGTAAAAAGGCCGCTCAGGTCAGTGATATGTCAGCCGTGAAAATTGAAGCCGACTATGATCCAATTCAAGATTGGGATGGATCGCAAGATCCTGGAGTAGCAGAGCTAGATGCTACCGAAACACAACCCGATTCCCAGTCAGAGGAGGATCAAGAGTCTGATCAACAGGAACCCGATCACGACAAACCATTGGAGCGGCTTCAAGCCGTTAAGTCAGCCCTGCAATCGCATCGTAAACAGATGAGTAATACCAATGAGTCAGCCAATCTTCGGGAACAAGAATCAAGGGTTAGTGATACATCTGCTCCATCTGCTGGAGGAAGTAGGCCTGCTAGGGATAAGACCATCGCAGTTTTAGCGTTGGACACAGTAAGCCAGCAGCCACTAGTGTACATTGACCAGTTAAAGTCTGGCCGACTTCCGGGTCATACGGTCTTCATGCATGGCAATCGCCGTGCCATTGAGCTCAAAATCCTGCTTCATCGTCAGCAACACCATCTTCGGATCTATCAAGACAGGATCGAAGTGGTGATAACGTGAAGTTGCGGGAACTTGATGACCGTGTAGTTTGAAGGGTTCAGGAAGCGCCTCTTCCTGAGGACACCACCCTTTTTTAGTAAAGTATCGGGTCGACCAGGGGTTAAGTGGGAACATGTTTCCCAACGACCCTGAGGCCCCATGCTTTGGCATGTATGATGGACCTAGTCTACTACCTTTCGTAGTAACAGAGAAACAGTATGGCGCCTGGTAATGTAGAGGGGGAACCTCGAGCCTGTGTGGCTCTCCTGTTAAGTTTCTTAGACAAACTCTGAGCCTGTCACCAAACATGGCTCTGTCAGGCATATGTGGATGTGTCGTCATTTTAAGGATATCGGCCCACAGGCGTTCATTCCACATAACGCAACCTTGATTCAGACGCTGGGTTCTGGTGTCCATGTAGTATCTGTCCGACAGGTTAATATAAACCCCGCCTAGTAATAGCAAAACTTCGGGAAGAAGTTTAGCAACTTGTAGTCCTGGAGGGACTACCATGTATATAGTAATACTTAGTCTGCGTTCTGCATATTGCAGAACGGGGGGAGTGCTGGTGTACTGAAATGTGTGCACGCATCCCATCTGCAGCCGCTTAAGCCTCTAGGTAGGCATGTCGCATGTACAACAACATGTACAGTCATTTCAATAGTAGTCCATCAGTTTTTAATTTCTTTCGTGGTTGTGTTTTCCCTTCCTGGGGCTTCGGCCCTTCCGAGTTGGACTGTTCTCGCTTGTGGTAAAGAGGGTTCTTTTCCTGCGTGCCCCGCCATAGTACCTGCACCAGTACTTGCGATGCTTCGGTCCTAGACCTAAACCCCTCTCCTTCCTTTAAGTTAAATCCCCCTGGCGAAGCGGGGACGCAATATGACGCAATGATGCTGATGGTTATTTAAGTGCCATCACCGTCCAAGGGTGAGATAACAAATCCGGCCCCTGCCCATCCGCTTCTGGGAGGCAGGCTTCTGAGGGGACTGTTGGCAAGAGACTAGACTAGGTCCCGGCAGGAAAGGGAGGTAAAAACCCACATCTGGCCCAGACCCCCATTCTCGAGGCGAAACGGGGGGTTCGGGCCAGATCAGGCTCTGAGGCCCAAAGAGAGTTCGAATAGGGAAGACCATATTCGAGCCGAGACAAAAAGTTTCGGGGCCCAAAATGCCACTCAAGCAATGGGAGCCGCTATTCATCTTAGTCTTAGCCAGCCCACTCACTGATCGCCAGGATCACGCAGAAGGGCAGCGGCGGCAACCGCCGCACCGGCCGCGGAACCACCTGCGCTGTGTTGTCGCAGGCGCCGGGCAACGGCACGGCCATTGGCACGAGCGACTAGGACGGCAAGCCGCTCCAAAAAATCCTCAAAAATGGACGCCACGCCAACCCCTTCTGCAGATGCAACAGCCTCAGCAATGCCGTGGAGGACTGAAGCTCCTTCTGTAGAGATAGTGCCCTGCGAAGTCAGCACGATAGGTTGGAAGTGCAACCCCGCGACCGTGCAGCGCGTGGCTGTGTCGAGGTGGCGTCCTTTACGATCACCATGAGCTCGCGCAGCATGGGCGCCATCGGCTTGAAAAGTACCCCGCCAGTGCCCATGGCTCAGGGCATTAATGATGGCAAAGTCGAGGGCAGCCCGGTTGGAGCTTGGCATGCGCGATCCATCAGGCAGGCGGGCTGATATGCAGGAGGAGGTGCACAAGAGCACATCTGCCCATCTTACATGTACTGTATCCATCTGGCATTCTATGTGACATATACTGCACATATCTATCATGCATTGCAGGTTCGATTTTGTGAGACATATCTTGCTCTCTACTTGAAGTAGATAGAACGTGATGTTTTGTTTGCGCGCTTCTTTGCTTGCAACACGGCCGCCCTGTCGATCATTCATGCGCAACTGTTCGCCCAACTGTCACTTCGCATGGCGTGCCCGTGCCCGCTCTTGGAGAGGCATTATGAGGTTGATGAGGGTTGGATGGCGGCCTCGCAGAAGCTATGATGCTTCTTTGCCAGTTTGCTGGTAGGTTTCTATGTATTTTTCCATTTAAGTCACAAAAGCTGTTCACAAATGTGCTTACGAGTTCCTGACTTTTCTTGGTTTTGTGCAGGTGTGGCTCTGTCATGATTATTCCAACATTGTTTTGAATTTTTCCTTGCGGCACACGAGCTTTGTGTTGGCGGTGCCGATGAATTTGCGGGGTTTCAGGCAACCTCAGCATCATTCGGGGTACATTTCTCCAATTTGAAGGTTCCAGGCTGCATGCCCTGACCCATGCCCTGCACAGCTCCACACTACCTGCGTTGCCCGCACCTGGGAGCAGTCCCGCAACAGTCTTACACACCACCAGTCACCAAGCGCCAACCTGGCATAAGCTATGAAACGACCGCATTCCCCCAATCGATAAAAGGGACACCCCGAACCTTCTCAAATGCCCCAAGTGCGACACTAAAGAGGAAAACCAGAGTCCCAATGTCAGAGCCAGAGTCTGCCCTTACGGTAGGCCACTCACTTTCCAAGCCTTCTGCATGGAGCACACAGCTCCACAAAGTTGAGACGGCAAGTCTCAATAGCAGACAAAACTAACAACCAAACTAGGCAGACCAGCCGAGCTCCTGCGCAAGAACAAGAAGACATCACGTGACCCAGAGCGCCTCCCCAGATGTCTCTGGCAGCCCCAGGTCAAGCATTTCCCGTAGCACCTGCTCAAGCAACTGCAAACTATGCACCAATTTGATCACCTCAGAACCTCTGTTTCACATGATTACAGCAGCTCGCCCCAAACCATTCCGCATCTTCAACAGCCAGAAACCTTTTGCTTTCATGAGCTCGCTGCATCACGCAAAGGCCATTGGAGCATTGCAATACATACCTCATTAACGTTCATGAGTGTCAGGTCCTACAGTGGGCTGTCTGCCGTGGACATGCTTGAAGCTTTCTCCCCTCATCCGATGCATCTCGATGCGCTTCGAAGCTGCTGCGAAGTTATACGCCCTCACGGCTACAAATGTGTTTTTGACAGGCCATTATCACATCTAATAATCTGTGAGTCTGCACTTGAAAATCAGCTCGATTTGACTCTCCCACGAGGACCGTAGTTCATTTTTGGATAACAGACTGACGGACAGAACAAAACGTTAACAAGGGATGTACGTTCTACGCCCACGTGAAATCGCAGACTCCTCTTAAGTTCGTGGCGCGTCTTCCTATGTTGCGAGATGTGCCGCATACTTGGACAATGCTCGCCGGCCCATACGACCGTTGCCGCTTTAATATGCATGCAGAGCGCAGACAGGTGTGTCAAAAGTGTGAGTGGCCTGCCCCTTTCCAGCACCTTTGGCTGCACGGGCTCTGATGTGTGACCTGGCCACTGCAAAAGAGGATACTCACTTGCTTCATGAATCGCCGGATGCGGACTCTGCCACCAACGTTCCCAAAATGCCGTCCAATGAGGTCACGGCCGCGCACACACACACACACACACAAGCACTCACACAGGTCAGCAAGCAGTTTTTCCCCACGCAGCGAACGCACAGTGAGGGAGCAATCACGAATGAAAGCAGGCTGCACAACTCTGCATCCTCCGAAAAAACTGCCTGGTGCAAACGGAAAATGCGACGTGACGGCAGACAGCTAACCGGGCCCAATGTGTGCCATGTCAGCATGGGAGGTGATTGAAAGCATATGTGCCAGGTCTGTTGACCTTGCAGCTCTTTGCATCTATGCCTAAAAGGGATGCTTCAGAAGCTCCTCTGCCTGTAACGGGGGCGTTGCCACCGCTCAGTGCAAGAGGTTGCCACCCCGGTGAAACGATAGACTTTTTTGCTTGAGGCATTGAGTTCGATCTGGCACCAAAATCAGAAATTGCAACTAGACTCGATAGGCTATGCATCGCTCATTTTGGAAGCAGGTGCTCTGGTTGTGCACACTTTGGAGAAAGTCTGCAAAAGCTAGGATGCAAGGAATTGGTTTGCCTGAAGAAGCGGGAACAGAAAGCCCTGGTACACGAGACGTTGGAGGCAGGGGAGACAAAGGCCTTTCATTCTGTAGTGGAGAACCAAATGGCACACCGAACAGAAGATGAGATAGTAACCGTTAGATGTTACAGTTCTGTGACATTGTGAGTACACTTTGAAGTCCTCAGTTGAGGGGTGAGCCGAGGCCAACAAAGCTAGCCGGGCTCTATCTAGCACTGGAGTAGGGTAGAAGAGGAGGAGGAAAGGTACATGCCAGCAAAAAGCACAAGCCTCGTTAAGGGGCCTGGAAAACCCTTTGCAGAACCTTGCCAACTCGACTCCAGTGTCCACTTCTCTTTGCACTTCGCTTCGCACTCCACTTGCTTTTCCAGCTCTCTCTTCTCCCCACTTTCCCCATTCTCCCAGTCTCTGCTCCACGTTTCACTGTCCAGTCTAACTCTAACTTTACTCTGTATTCCACCCTGACTCCAGAGACCACTCCAGTTTCCACTCCACTCCTATCACTTTCTGCATCACTCACCACTC